CCTCTGTTGCTTTCTGAAAGCCCCTCGGAATTTTTGACTGGGTTTTTCGGCCTCGCTAGGTATTGTCCTCAGTCACCTACCACTTGCCTTCCTCCTCGCCGCGATGATCACTATCGTCTAGGCAATTTCAGGCCATAATAACCTTGAGGGCGGAGAGGAGCACACCTGTAAGTTTTTCTCAGCATCCTGTAAACTGTAGACGAGTGAATACTATACAAGCTTGTCAACGCCCTCTAAGCCTCGTTATCACCTGTCAAGCACCATGTGAACTCCTGTCAGAGTTTTCAAAATGACTATCCGGGATTTGCGAAAAAATGGAGAAATTTTGGGGTTCCGATGACTCTGGTAAGCTTGACAGAGTTTACAGTGTATCTGAGTGGAATTTACAGAACATACACGGTGAGATACGTTCACGAAAAGACAAAAAACCAACCCAAATACCCACATTGAAGAAGCTTACAGGTGCGGCTCACCGCAAGGTTGTCAGCGCCTAATTTCACTCATTGAAACATTCCTATTATATGAGTAGTACATTTTGACTCATAGTGTGACTAGATTTCTCCATTCTCGTAAGAGAGCAATTTCAGGAGTATCTAATGAAGTATGATCTCGAACAAGGAGCTGTAATGCAGCTTAGGCTACCAAAATGTGAGATTCTTACTCCTTCAGAGACTGTTTCAGAAGGTTGAGGCAACTTTACATAAACATGCTTCTGCTTTAAGGTGTTCCTCATCAGAATGTCGGTCGTTTTGCTACCTCCAAAGACGGATCTCTATTAGCGATGATAGCTCGTAATGCACAGGTCTATGTGCTGTCTTCGTCGGTGAGTTTATCGAAGGCTCTTCCACTTCGGTTATCTAGTAATTAGCCTCAACGTTTTCTTCAGTCTATGGAATTGGTTAAAACTTTATCGGCACCTACGGACGTGACATCGGTACAATTCCTTCCTGGATCCAATCGTGAAATATGGGCCATGACAGGTAACCGAAGTGAAAGAGCCT